ACCATGTGAAGTCCACTTTTGGGTTGGCAAACTGCTGCATACCTATGTCCATAGTAACATCAGTTGCTGGACCAGTGGGCTCATGCTTTCATGTCCATTGAAGGCTGAATCTGCCCATGCATCAAAGTACTTGTGGGAGCAAGACCTTGAATGCTTGGATGGTGAGGATCAGGGACCATGGACAGGGGTTGTTGGATCTGGCTGTTTGATTGTGACTTCTACCAATTGCAATCTATATCTACCTCCAGTTCTCTGAGTCTTGACTTCCAGCTGCTTCACCCAATGGCCTGGGGTAGGACCAATCATTCTCATACCCTTTTGAGTGCTTCCCTTGGCCATCTGGAGGTTGCTGATTTCACAGTATGAGGTCAGTTGTTAGAAATGCTACTGCTAGTGCAAGTCACTTTATCATTTAGCTCTATTGATGTCAGTACCTTAACACATGTCAGGGCATAAATACAAATGCAACTACACTGGCCATGCACAATGCATGGTGCTGCCTTCTTAGTACTGCTCAATCCCTGCCCACACATTCCCTTCCTGCTTCAACATTACCTGGGTGCTTTGCCTGGATTATGATGGTGAATTTGGAGCTATATTAGCTGATGAAGGTGAAATGAGATGTTTGGTATCAATATAAGTATGGATATGATTGGGCAAGCCAACTGACAGCCCAGATGCAAACTGGGAGCTAATCCACCTTTGGGTGGGATCCTGTCAAAGAGATCAGCCTGATTGGATATTTCAGTTGCTTCACAGAGGTCTGAACAAATTCCTTGGCATGGCTGCACTAGTACTGAAATGCATTGAGACCAAACAAGGGTGTGAAAAAACTTAGTAGCCAACCATCTATTATACACCATTATACATCATACCACATCATACTCCATGGAGTCCCAGTATGAATCAGACACCTGGGATCAGACAGAAAGAGATGATGCTGATGGTGAGCAAGACATAGCACCATCAGATGTGGGGGAAAGGGAGGAAGAAAGGTTTGAAGTGGAAGAGTTGGAGATCCTTGGGTGCCAATGCCAGGAATGGAGGCAAGCAGGGAAGAAGAAGAAGCCTGCAGTTCTGCTATCCATATGGCAGGAGATGCAGCAATTGGACAGGAACAAGGAGTTGAGAGGGAGCAAAGTCCAGATCAAGTGCAAGGTATGCTCTAAAAGTTCTGATTCAGATGCTCACAATTCAAAGCACCCTTGTAGCTAATACAAGATTGGTTGAACAAGCCCCTCTGTTCAAAGAAGCCCCACATTACCCTTAGATCCAGTTACAAATACTCTGTGTGGGCAGTGGTCCATGAATTGTACCAAGAGCAAATACAGGAGAAGCTTGAAAAAATGAAAGTAGAAGAAGGTGATACCCATGGAAGCAAGCAGATCCAACAGTATCAGAATGCATTGACAGCTTTTATTCAGGATGACCTGACAGAGGAACAATTGGCTGCAGCTGAAGATATAGCAGAAAGGTGGAATGGGCGGGAAGGCCCCATGCCAGAGACAAAAGCAAGGTGTGATTGTATGAGGTCACCTTCCCAGTCTTCAATTTATCCTGGTTCCCAGGAATGCAGCCAAGTATGGGTACAAGTATGTCCAAAACTTTGCAATGGAGATGTGGAGGTATTGTGGAATGTGCATAGTGTGTATGGCTGGGTGGAAAAATGAGGAGGGAACTATACAGGCATGCATGTGAGTCCACCATATTCTCCTCTAGGCCTAGGTAAGACTCATGCAATGACAGTATAGACTTCAATAATGAAATCGCAGATGGAATCCCCTTCAATGATGTCCACACACTGGAAGGAAGCTGGTGAGAGTACCTTGGGGAAACATTTGAGGAACCAGGAACACTGCCTGAGCATGATGGTGAGTCAAGTCCCAAATGTGCTTGGGAAAAGACAGCAGCCAAAGCAACAAGGACTGGCAAGGTTGACTCTGTGAAATTGGTGAAAAATGCTGATGGAGAGATTTGGATAGGAGAAATCATGGGCCTTAGCTGGGACCAACTACAAAAAATGGTTCGTGGATTTGTGACTGCTCACTACCATGAGTGGCCAGAGTATTTAGTGTCCTCAATCTCTAATGAGTGCTATCAGGATTAGCATGCAGAAATCCCTTGTCAGCAATGCCATTCAAGAATTTTGGTCATCATCAAGTGGAAATGATAGCAGCCCACCATCTTCCTGAATGACACCATGGTGGTTGTGAGAGGCATCTTTGATATCAGAGAGAGGGATAGTTAAGCAGGATAGTTGAGCATGACAATTGAGTGGAGAGCTGAGTGGGACAGGTCTACATATTGGCCATGTGGAAGCAACTGGTAGCTATCTATGTAGGGAGATATTTCTGCTCATCTCCCATGTATTGCTGTTACCCAAAATTTGGCTCCATCTGCCATTGTCCAACCTTGCTTCCCACAGTGTGAATGATATTCTCACCATTGTTCCTACAAGTTTAAATCTTGATTGATCATTGACCTATCAGTGAACCCATCATCATTGAATATGTCTGCCAAACAGTTCTGCCAAGTTTGTTTCCATTGTCAAGGTGAGGTTGTCTTCATTGTTGGATCCAGCAACCTAAGCCATCCACAGCTAATGTAAGACCAATTGAGCCAAGGCAATCTAGCTCCCGCATGAAGCAGTCCAAAAATCTGGAGGAGACACTAGTACAATTGCATGAGTTGTGAGAGCCAACCCCTCCACCAATTGTCTCAAGTGGAAGGGTGGATATGGTGGGGTCCAACATGGATATTGTGGCCGGTGAGTGAACATGATTTCTCTCAAAGCTAAACAACAAACATCCTTTTGCTATAGCTTCATGCGAAAGCTTGGTGGATCAGTTCCTGCAGGAAAGGGAGCCAACTGCTCTGGAAGAGGGCAGAATCATGGCTAGTGAGTTGGCACAATTGCCCTTCAAGCTAACAAACAAACTAATTTTCTAGTAATAGATCCACATGACAACTTGATGAATCAGTTCATGAATGAACAGGAACCAACTGCTCCCCCAGTGGATGGTATGAACATGGATCTACTTGAGCAATTGCTGAATGCATGGGAACCATCAGCATTGCCAGTCACACACAAGAAATTAAACAGGATGGACAGGTCTTCAACACCTGCACAAGACATTACTATGCAGGTCAATTTTCTGGCAGACTTGCAGAATGTGTGGGAACCATCTCCTCTGCCCATCACCCTCGAATCATCAAATCTGAGGGACCGATCTCCTTGACCTGATTCTCCAACTAACCTGCTTGCTCAATTGCAGGATATGAGGGAACCAACACCTCCCCCACTCATTTCAAATGTACCCATCAAATCTTTTGACTTGGCAGTGGAGGAGGACAATGGCACAAACCATTTGACTTTTGGCATGCCCAAACAATCAGAGATGAGGGATCTTTTTGAGGAAATATGCAATGGTGAGCATTTATTTGATTCTATTCATGTGATCAGTGATATCCATTGATTATGTAGGTGAACTTCCATCCACACAGCAATCTCTTCAAATGGAACAATGGGGATTGGCACTTGTTCCATGATGCAATAAAGGTATGGGCATGAGCTTAATCTGATACAGCATTGACATTGATAATTTTAGTCCTGTGTGCCTTACATGCCACAGTATCTCGCTATCACAGAAACACCACTCCCAGTGACATGCTGTTCAATCCCACCCTCAAGAGGCACCTTGTGTGGGCTGCAAATGCCATTGCGAGAGAATTGGGCACAGCTGCAAGGGACCAGTATGGTGCAGCCTCTCAGGGCCTTCAACTTGTCAATATGCTCAATTTGATGGAAGTTGTTTGTTATCCGCATTCTGCCTTTGAAAATTGTCCCAAGCCATTCATTGCCAGCCAATCACACCCATCTCACCAGTCTGTGGTAGAGATGGGTATCCTCTACTTGGCATGCCAGATCGAGGTGGCCTCTGTACATCTGAAGCAGACTGCCAATATCATGGGATGGCCTGTGCATTGGTTTGCAAACCTAGCAATGGACTTGGTAGGTTTTACATCAATTTTTCACAATGTGGGACTGATACATAATTCCTTCAGAATCAGCTTAATAGCTTGATTCTGGTGATGGTGTTCCATGCCAGTTATACTCCTCCCCTCCTGGCATGCTACCATGCATACCTCAGACACCAAGATGATGAGGTTAGCTTCTGCAATCAAATGCAGCTAATTCCCCTTAGCACATTTTGCATAATCGACAATATCAGCACCATCATCCCAAATTGGACCCCACACACAGCTGATCCCAATTCTGGCTTTGTATTCCCTTGGTTGCTATATCATTCTGAGGAATATGCAGCGGATTCTGAAAGATTTCAAGGCAAGGGATTGTTTTCTGTGGCCTGGGATTTTTTTAAGGTTTGCTGCTTATTCTTGTTGCTGCAAATAGTTGATGATGGCCCAGGGCTTATGGCCATTGCCTGAGGTGCCAATCACAGACCATCTCAATGGCCATATTGAGGAGCAGGTAAACTACTGCATTGAAAATATTTGGAAATATGCTGATGTTGTCAATGGTCAGGGTCAACAAATTGACCATTTCTACACTAGGTGGTGGGCATTGCATGGGTTGTTGGGCATGCCACTTCAATAGTTTACATGTTTTTGACTGTGGAGTTGGTTGAATATACATTGCTGTAAATGTCAATCATTTATGAGATGCCACCCATTCACATGATGTCTGAATCCCTGCCCATCCACATGATGTCTGACAATCTGCCCATCTGCATGATGGCCTGAGTAGGTTTATTTTTTTTGAAGTTTATGATGCACACCCTTTAGCTCTGAGTACCTGCCCAATCTATGATGTCAAAGCACCCACCCATTTGCAAAATCTTGGCAACACCACCCATCCAAAGTTCAAGACCCAGCATCTCCTAATAAAATATGAGATCTGCATTGCCTACTAAATCTTACATTAAATTTTGCAGCTTCAAATCAACAGTTCTCCAGTTGCAACTGGTCTAGGTAGTAGGTCATCCATCTGTGGTGATTGACACATGGGAACATGCACCAACTGATGGACATTGGCATGCATGTAGTACACCAGGCATGCTCTCTTCAGCTCCCACCCCATGCTCCAGTGCTGAACCTGAAAATGCAATGATCATCCCTGGGTTGTAGCACAGCTGCAGATTCAACATTGGAATGACAAAGTCCAAGGGCAGGTAGTTGCCCATGGTTACCAGCATGTCATACCATGGATCCTGTCCATTGATATCCCTGTGGTAACAAGTTGCCCAATTCACCATCATGGACATGCTGCTATATGTGGAGCTCCATATCAGCAGTATGGAGCTCATATCCAAATCTGCCTGCTGTTCCACTTGTTTGCCAAGGCAGATCAACACTTCCCTGCCATCTGCATACATTCACAGATGGATGACATGCAGGATCACAGATAACAGGGCATTGGTGTCAGACATTTGGTTGACCCATTCCCTTGTAGAAGTGTTTTCTGTCCTGGATTTGAGCAACCATGAGGCTTCTGGGAAGCCATTTTGGGGCTTCAAGACAGATGAGCACTTTATTCACAAGGAAAGAAATGATCACCCACCCCATGACCCTGTTGAAACCATGCAGGTGACAGGTTGATGGCACCTTTCAACTCAGCATCATTGTGGAAATATGACTTGTCCATCCACCATGCCTTTGGGGAAGCCTGTATGCTCTCCCACAGTGGTTCCCTCAGAAGATGAAGGCAGTTCCATATGTTGGCCTGCCATTGCATTAAGTCAGTAGAATATGAGATTCTGCATTCCCTTACCCTGCTTTTTGGGCTGAGAGTGTCCAGCAAATACCAAACATGGATGGTGTTTGAGTTGGTCACCAGAATGAACAGCTCAGTCACTTCCATGTATCTCTCAGCAGCTTCTGCATTGCAGGTTTTTCCACCCCAATTTTTCCTGATGTTTACTGTGGAAAGATGAAAACTTCCATTGCACCATTATGATGGACTTAGTTGGGCGACGATAGGCCTGTGAGATTACTGATGATATGCAATCTGCTTCACATAACACCAGAAATGGAATCAATATATCTGGAAGGGTGCAAGGTCTGTGGAATACTTCCTCTTGAAATCTGGCTTTCATGTATGATGCAATGCAGTCTGTTAGTTCCATTTGCCATCTGTGGGGGGTGTTGGACATGTCTTGCATAGTATTCATGCTTGGGGTGGATGAGGTCAGAGTTGTATAGTGGGCGAGCTGCTTGCAGCTTGTTGGAAAATTATGGCATGTTGGGACACTTGCCTCAATATTTTGCTGTGATCTGATCAATATGTTGTGATGCTATATGTGCTATTGGTGTTGGGCCCATCTTATGTTGCAACAGGGGTGGATCTTACTAGATGGACCCATCCTTGTTTTATGGCAATATAAAAGATATTACTGAAGGGCCCATCCATATGTTATGACTATATAAATAATACTGCTGAAGGGCCCATCCTTATGTTGTGACCACATAAATGATACTGCTGAAGGGCCATTCCATATGTTGTGATGCTATAAATGATATTACTGATGGGCCTGTCTTTATGTTGTGACAGGGGTGCATCTTACTGGACAGGCCTGTCTATGTGCTGTGATGCTGTAAATGATATTACTGATGGGCCTGTCTTTATGTTGCGACAGGCATACATGTTGCTATTGATGGGCCCATCCATGTGTTGTGACCATGTAATTGATATTACTGACAGGCCCATCCTTATGTTGGGATGGTGTATCTTACTAGATGGGCCTGTCTATGTGTTGTGACACTGTAAATGATATTACTGATGGGCCTGTCTTTATGTTGCAGCAGGCATACATGTTGCTATTGATGGGCCCACCCATGTGTTGTGACCATGTAATTGATATTGCTGAAAGGCCTGTCTTTATGTTGTGACTTGGGTGCATCTTACTAGATGGGCCCATCCATGTGTTGTGACCCTGTAAATGATATATATTGAAGGGCCTGTCTTTATGTTGCAACAGGTACATCTTACTATGGATGGGCCCTCCCATGTGTTGTGATGGTATAAATGGTATTACAGAAGGGCCCATCCATATGTTGTGACACTATAAATGACATTGCTGACAGGGATGCATCTTACTAGATGGGCCCATCTATGTGTTGTGATGCTGTCAATGATATTACTGATGGGCCCATCCTTATGTTGTGACAGGCATACATCTTGCTATGGATGGGCCCATCTATATGTTGTAACAGGGGTATGCTCCTTGGATGTATGCCCACAACTGCTATCATGATAAATGGCATTGTCTTCATTGGATGTCCTGTCAGGTATTGGGCTGCATGGGTCAGATGGAATGGTAAGTTCCATCAGGAGGACCCCATGTAGTCCATTTAGTCACAACATATAGGTAGCCTGCATGCCAAAATGCCAAAACTTATATAGACCCCACAATGGGCCCATCTGAATGGATTAGCCATGACACATGGGCAGGCCTGAGGGCCTATAGTGAGAGCAACATATGTACAGGCCTGTAAGCGCAATTCCACAACATATGGGAGGGCCTGTGGAGGGTAAGGATGCCACAACATATAGATGGGTCTGTGACCAAGTAAGTATGCTGAGCTACTGTAAGACATGGATGGCCCACCTATTGTATCATGAAGAAGGTCACAACATATGGATGGGCCCACCCATCATATGCTTTATAGGGTCACAACATAAAGAGGGGCCCCTCTATGATAGATTACAGAGTTGGCAACATATGGAAGGGCCCATCTTTGGGATAATATACCCCTGTCACAAAATATAGATGGGCCTGTCCATAGCAAGATGTATGCCTGTCACAACATAAGGATGGGCCCATCAGTAATATCATTGACAGCATCACAACACATAGACAGGCCTGTCTAGTAAGATACACCCCTGTCCCAACATAAGGATGGGCCCATCAGTAATATCAATTACATGGTCACAACACATGGACAGGCCTGTCAGTAATATCATTTACAGCATCACAACACATAGACAGGCCCTTCCATAATATCAGTTATACCATCACAACACATGGCCAGGCCTGTCCATAGTAAGATGTACCTGTTGCAACATAAAGATGGGCCCTTCAATATATATCATTTACAGGGTCACAATACATGGACAGGCCCATCTAGTAGGATGCACCCATGTCACAACATAAAGACAGGCCAGTCAGTATTATCAATTGCATTGTCACAACAGATGGATGGGCCCATCTAGTAAGATATGCCCCTGTCGCAACATAAGCCAGGCCCATCAGTAATATCAATTACATGGTCACAACACATGGATGGGCCTGTCAATAGCAACATGTATGCCTGTCGCAACATAAAGACAGGCCCATCAGTAATATCATTTACAGTGTCACAACACATAGATGGGCCCATCTATTAAGATGCCACCCTGTCACAACATAAAGATGTAAACTATTGAAGTGGCATGCCCAACAACCCACACAATGCCCACCACCTAGCATAGAAATGGTCAATTTGTTGACCCTGACCATTGACAACATCAGCATTTTTCCAAATATTTTCAATGCAGTAGTTTACCTGCTCCTCAATATGGCCATTGAGATGGTCTGTGATTGGCACCTCAGGCAATGGCCATAAGCCCTGGGCCATCATCAACTATTTGCAGCAACAAGAATAAGCAGCAAACCTTAAAAAAATCCCAGGCCACAGAAAACAATCCCTTGCCTTGCAATCTTTTGGAATCTGCTGCATATTCCTCAGAATGATATAGCCACCAAAGGAATGCAAAGCCAGAATTGGGATCAGCTGTGTGTGGGGTCCAATTTGGGATGATGGTGCTGATATTGTCGATTATGCAAAATGTGCTAAGGGGAATTAGCTGCATTTGATTGCAGAAGCTAACCTCATCATCTTGGTGTCTGAGGTATGCATGGTAGCACACCAGGAGGGGAGGAGTATAACTGGCACACAACACTGTCACCAGAATCAAGCTATTAAGCTGATTCTGAAGGAACTATGTATCAGTCCCACATTGTGAAAAATTGATGTAAAACCTACCAAGTCCATTGCTAGGTTTGCAAACCAATGCACAGGCCATCCCATGATATTGGCAGTCTGCTTCAGATGTACAGAGGCCACCTCGATCTGGCATGCCAAGTAGAGGATACCCATCTCTACCACAGACTGGTGAGATGGGTGTGATTGGCTGGCAATGAATGGCTTGGGACAATTTTCAAAGGTGGAATGCGGATAAGTTGGCTCTCACAACTCATGCAATTGTACTAGTGTCTCCTCCAGATTTTTGGACTGCTTCATGCAGGAGCTAGATTACCTTGGCTCAATTGGTCTTACATTAGCTGTGAATGGCTTAGGTCACTGGATCCAACAATGGAGACAACCTCACCTTGATGATGGAAATGAACTTGGCAGGACTGTTTGGTGGACATATTTGACAATGATGGGTTCACTGATAGGTTGATGATCAATCAGGATTTAAACTTACAGGAACAATGGCAAGAATATCATTCACACCATGGGAAGCAAGGTTGGACAATGGTGGATGGAGCCAAATTTTGGGTAACAGCAATACATGGGAGATGAGCAGCAATATCTCCCTACATAGATAGCTGCCAGTTGCTTATCCCTCTCTGATATCAAAGACACCCCTCACAACCACCATGGTGTCATGAGCTACTGTACATGCCATACACTTGTATTCTAATGTGTCACACTAGGCTAAGCCCTCTATAGACTGTACACAAGTTCCAGAAAAGGTTTCCACTCTGACTGTTTGAGGGATTCAACAACTACTTCCACTTCTGATTGCTGCCTGTTTGCTTGCATGATCTCTTTGCATCAGGAGATGGAACATCTGCATCTGGCCTTGCAGGGGCCATTCTGACATGAGGTGACTTCCAGGTGCTCCCATGGATGCCCTGTTTCACATTTGTGGATGCTGCATTGGTGGTCACAGATCCATTATGGTTGGACTTGGATGAGTATTTGGTCCCAGGCTGATGTCAATTCATGTCTGGCTCACTCGATTCTGACAGAGCCTGCTTAATATACAGTGCAAACCTGTTAGCCATAACAGCTGATTCAACATGACCAAACTTGCCTAGTGTGTGCGCTTCAGGGTGGATTTCAGCTTTCCACCTTTTTTTCTGCTGATTGACCCCTCCTCAGTTGGGTGGTCAGTGAAAGGAATGCTCTCCAATCCATCTTCATCTGCATATTCTGAGTGGTCCTGTAGTTCAGCTGTGTACTCATTCCCTGAGTGCAGATCAGGGTTTGCTGTGAATACAAGTTACAGCAGGAAGCTCACTATTCAGGGATGTTGCTGTTTTCTTTGAATTGGATAGGGTGGGCAAATAAGTGTCTTCATCAGCTTCATCATTGGAGTCATGGCCACCCATTATAGTCAGTTAGTGCTTTATTTCATGGATGATGCACCAGGGTCTTTGCATGGGCTGGAGGTGCAGAGAGCTGCTCACTATGGGAACCATCAGCTGGTGGGGGATTTGAGTGGGAATGAGAAGGGAATAGTGTCTTGGCACATTTTTGCCTCCCACCAGATACCTGAAGACCAGAATTGCATTAGTGCTGATCTGTCATGCATGAAAATCACACATGGCACACCTTTTTATTAAGCAGATAGCCTATCATGGAAGCTCAAAGTGGCTCGAGCAGCAGCACCATTGGCAAGGCAGGCATATATAAAGCTAGATGAAGCCTTGACTGCAGAACAGTGAAACAGCTGGTGAACACAAGAGAGTCATGCACTGCATGATCACATCGACAACCCATCTGTCATGGACATCTTTGAAGTTCAATTAAGGGCAGGTATGGCATCTGCCTTTTTGGATAAATGCAAAATACTGACATATCATGAGAAGCACCAACAGTGCATGCCATCAAATTAGCATTGTTGGAGGAACCAAGACCCAGCAGAAGCCTACATGGAGCAGCTAGTTGGCTGGCATGCAGTTTACACTTAGAAGAGGCCATAACCTCACTTCACATGGACAGAAAGGATGTCAGGGAATGGGCATTGGAATTGAAAAAATTGGCTATGGCATGCCATGCTGATTGCATTGCATCTGAACAATTGGGTTTTATCATGGATGCTGCAATTTACTTGAAGGTGCACCTTGAAGCAGGCTCCAACACTTCCACCAGTGAATCT